CCCCCCCCACCTCTCCGTGTTGGTAACGCCGGCGCAAGAATGCCTCTTTAGCAAATGAACTTACAATATTCAACCGGCTGTTCTCTGACAGAGTCGTATTTTAACTTAACTTGTGGCTAGTGTGTTTCCTTGAGTGAATATACGCCTTGTACGACTTTTCCTTTGTGTCCAACAACAACAACAACTAGCTTTACTTGCGTGACTATAAATACATACAGTGTTGCAAAAGCTTTTGTAAACTAAAACTAAACTAACCATTCTTCTTCATTGCAGACGGCTGTTTTCCATATTGTCTTACGTGTTTGTTTTCCTCAACGTCATTGTGGGTTTGTTTTCATGCTTGTTACGCATGCTAAAAGGAATGATACTGGGGCTTTTCTTCTTTTCTCGCCTCGACAAAACGTGTCTCATGCAAGGATTTCAGAGATGGGACAAAGGTACATATTTCTCAGTCTGTGTTAAATAAGAAATAATTTCATTGTATCTCTGCTCGCGTAATGCAAAAAAAAAAAGTGTTTATGATTCTTCATATTCACCCCGCGTTTGAATGATTTTTTCCCGTCTTGTAACTATTATTGTCTGAAAAATGAGGTATTCCAATAGTGGTAAAAGTGGAAAATTTACAGTTAAGTCCCACCCTATAACTATAGTTGGCCCTTACACCATTTTTATTGTTCATGCATTAATAATAATAATATGTTGATGATGATGATGATGGTAATATTTATATAACACCATTCCAATGCTCATGGCGCTTTACAAAGACATGTATAAAACTGTAGAATCAGTAATAAAATTTGTATACAAAAAGAGCAAGGTTTCAAACTAAGTTTAGTTCGAAAAAATTAACAATGTCTAAAAAACAATGAACGACTGTCCACAAATACTTTAAAAAGGTACGTTTTAAGTTCCGTCTTGAAGCTCGCGATAGAGTTCGACTCGCGCAAGGCAAGTGGCAGATTGTTCCAAAATCTTAGGGCACTAAATGTCCTGTCACTATAAGTTTTTGTGAAAGACCTCGGCTAATCTAACGGTTCATTGGTGACAGATCTCAAAGATCCAGAGTGAGAGCGATGGTAAAGCTTATCGACCAAATAGCTAGAAAATGTACCATTAAGCAACTTAAAACCATTAATAACACCTAATACATATTCTAGAAGTCTCCACCAAGTTGTGGGTGTGGCAAAATCATTTTGCAGCTTATAAACTTGTAGGCGAGGTGGCCAAGTATTTAGCACTTAAAGCTCCGGATAGCGCTTTTTGAGTTCGAGCTCTTTCGGAAATAGGGAAAGAGAGCTTTAAGGTCGAATGTTTAATCGGCGAAGAGAAGAACTCTAACATAGTACTTCTCTTCATCATTTTTTTTTAAATGGGTGCCGGCGAATCAAATGCTGGGAGCAACCTTACAATGGACTAGTGTCCCTTTCTAGGGACTAGAAATGCTCCTTGATATTTCATGCTACGGCAACCAGAGAGATGATTGCAGGTGGGCCTGTCCTGATTGTGCTCTGCAACTTTGGAGCAACTTTTGGCCTTTAATTTGGAGCAACGTTTTGCAGTTCCAGAAACCTCGAGCAAGTTTTGCCTTTCTGAGCAACTTTTGAGCAAAATATTTGTTTAGAGCACATATCAAGCACCAAAAAGTCGACCATTTCATAGAAAACTTCACTTTATGCGAGTTTCTTGAATGTTTATCAACTTTTTGAAGTTTGAATACATAAGGTGCCAATTGACGTTCGGCAAGACGTCAAATAAACCACGTGTTTTGTTCCGTTAGTATCCTTAAATTTCGCCCAAATTTGCCAGCAACTCTTTAAAGCTAGGTTTCTAGCTATTTTCCTGACCGATGTTAGCAATTATTGTGAAGAACGAAAACTAAAGATTTAAATTGACGTTTATATAAAAATATCAAGAGATTTAGGTAATAACATCTGAAATAAAGGAAGCAACTTTTTTCAAGTTTTGGCAATTTTTTAGCAACTTTTTGGCATTCCAGTCAGCAACTTTCCAGCATTTTACGAGCACAATCGGGACCGTACTAAGCGCAGGACTAATGGCTACCAGCTAGGTTCGAACTTAGCTTTTATATATTACCATACACTGTTATGACTCTTATTAAAAGTATTGCTTTCTGGAAAAGTAAGGAATGTTACACTGAAGTTTCAGCCTCTAAGGTGCCTACTATCCTGAAGAAATTAAATTCGTCTCGAGAGAAGCCCAAATTCAGCTTTGGACGCCGTCAGTTTGAAACTGTACTTTGCAGCCAGCCTGTGTTTATGTAACGTCGTTCCATGCAACTTGAAATAGGCGGAAAAACGGAAAACCGCAACTGACTTGGCATCCTTCACAAGGTCAGCGAAATGTGTTTATTTATTTATTTATTTATTTACTTACTTACTTACTTACTTATTTATTTATTTATTTTTCTATTTATCTATTTATTTATTTATTTATTTATCTATTTATTTATTTATTTATTTATTTTCAACGGATTATCCACTTCAATATCTTCACTGCTATCATTTTCAGGGTTTGGAGCACGTTTGGCTCGAAATAATACGGCTCAAGAGCAGCTATAACCTAGAGTGTTAGTTAAAAGGCTTATCGGAAGCCATGGACAAAATCCCTGGGACGGAATGACGTCGCGAAGACACGGCCAGGCTGCTGAGTACTTTTCAAAATGGCGGCAACGATGTCGAAGTTTGGTCTTCTTTGGAGACGAATTTTATAAGGAAAAGCTGCACTTTAGAGGCTGAAACTTCGCTGAGCAGCTGAACTTAGTGCAGGCTTTTTTGTTGCTTTGAACAAAAAAAATTACGTTTCTAGGAGTGATGTTACGGTAGTCTGCTTAAAACGTTCGACCTTTGAGCTCTAATTCCCTTTTATTATATGGCTTTGGCTTGTGGCTGATATAACGCGCGTTCTGATTGGCTAAGAGCGAGATCTGAGCGGTCATTATGTAGCCGTAATGCCCACGGCCGATTACGGATTATGCAAATTAGGAAGAGCCCGGCTCGGAAAATTCAAGCGCATTGAAACGATGAAAGCCGATTAAAAACAGTAAGGAAAGTACATTTAATTCCAAGTAGTTAGAAGTTTAGGGATTTTTCCTTAATAAAATTTATATGGAAGTCGTTTTTGACTTACCAGCCGGTAACCATGGCGGGCACTAGTGAAAACAAATCAAAGTTTGTCGAGTCTTAAGTAAAGCTAAAATCGCTAACTGAAAAACACCATCGGCTGATCTGTCATGCATCCTGAGCTGAACACCACGAGGAAATTTATAAGTTATCTTCTTAATCACAACAATTACCGAAATATTGAACTCCGTCACAGTTCTCATCGAATAGATTCCCTCTCTTTAACACAAGCAAGTGTAAATCAGCTTCCAGCATCATCAGATGTCAACAATCGGGCGGTTTCTGTCGGTAGCAGTGTTTCTGATAACTGCAGGAAGTTTTAGAAGTTCACAAAGCTTGAAAAGTTAATCCATAAATCCCAGAATGAAGAAGGCGAAGATATGTCGACGAAAGCGAATGCGAAGATCGAGTTATTTTAAGCAGTGCATTCTGAAGCATTAGTATTTTATTTCACCGAAAGGCCGTTGGTTTGGACTATTTTGAAGCACTTTTTGTCTTTTCCATGTGCGTTGACGTTTCGCCACAAAAGTTGGAAAAACTCTCCCATCAAGTTGTGGCACCACGATAATAAAATACGTTTTTGAGGCTGGGACAATCATTTTTCCCGTAAGGAAATGTGTACTTTTAACGGAAGACGTAATACAGTGGTGAAGTTCACTGACTGTGTAGTTTTTCCCTGGGTTTGAGACGATGAATGAATCGGTAAACGCGCGCATCGCCGGATGTAAATTGACGACTTCCGCTCGAATAATTTTTTCTTTTCTT